GGGGCTGGCCGTATAAGAACGGAGGGGGCGGCGGCGGGACGGCTCACTCGGTGCCGCTGCTTGGGGGCTGTAGTGACCGCGCCGCTCCTGCTGGGGGCTGCCCACGCCAAGGACCTGCCTCCGTCGCCTCCTCTCCCACCGCCCAGGTGAGTCCTCAGCCCGCTCCTGTAAAGGTGCGGGGATGCGGCGACCCCGGTGAACCGCGCTCTCTCCCCTCGGGGGTCTGGCCCCACAAGGGGTGCTTCAAGTGTGCACGGCCAGGTGGGAGGTGTGGGGCTGGAGGGGAGGTGCTGACAGGTGCCGAGACCCGATGCTCCTTTCTCCTCCTGCTCCCTCGCCCACTGCCGCCCACTGTCCCCACTTACACACCCCGCCCCCGGGGGACAGACGAGACGCTGGAGAGGGAGCTACAACTTTCCGGAGACTTCGGCCGGACTTGGCAAACTTCGGCGAGTTTCTGCTCCGCGCGTCCAGCGGGCTGCGCACTGGCGGGGCGCCGACTGGCCGCAGCGTGTGTGCTGGGCGCCCTCAGCGCCTTCCCTGGATCAGACGGCGCCCCGCCGCCCCTTCCTTGCTTGCAGCCTCTCGGGCTCGCTTCTGTGCTCCCGCGGGCATGCACACCTCCGCCCGCCCGCCAGCCGAGCGCGAATTCGAATCCGGCGGTTTCAGTAGGCACAGTTGGAGACGCAGCGCCTGGGGCTTGTATCTGCCCGGGCAGGGGAGGAGCGCTTCCTAGGCCCAGTGCCAAGGCCGGAGTTTTGAGAAGAGAGGCGGAGATCCTTTTCTTGGACCCACACTCGACTGTGGACACAGTGAGCAGCCAAGTGATCCCAGCGAGTGACTTGTGCGCCGCGTCTCTCGGAAATTTCGCAGGAAGACGGTGTCTGTGAAACCTGGTTCCTCCCCTTTGGGGAATGAAACTTGCTTACCGCGTGAGCTAAAAGGCTTGCCGAGTCAGTTGGCTGGGATAGCGGTGCTGCTGGTGGCTTAGAGGAGCGCCTTCCCCGGACGGTGTCGCAGTCCGGGGACGCTTTTTGCATAGATCGCGAGGAAGCGCCAGCGGGTGGGAGGCGACCCGGAGGAGGGTGATGAACCTGCAGAGTACTGGTTGGTAGCCTGTCCACCCAAACACATCGCCGGCGGGCTAGAGAACCCCACAGTGCCACCTGGTTGTGAGGGAGGAAGCCTGGGGGGCAATGCCTGGTGAGTTTCTCTAGCCAACGCAAGTCCTCTGTAGAACAGTCTGTTAGGACTGGACTCGGGAAGGAGCCTCTCAACCCCTTGTCCCCCAACCCCTCTTTGTCTGGAGGAGGGCTTCTGCAGGGCTCTGATGGATTCCTTGTCGAAGTAGGGACCTGCTTCCTTCCTTTCTTAACTTTTTTTTTTTTTTTAAATGTAGTGTAACACCATATAATGAAGTGCTTGGCACTTGCAGTAAACTTTTATAAAGACTATGTATGTAACCATGTGTATTGTGACAACTTGGTATTCAGGATTTTCAGTAGGTGGGTTAGGAGGCTGAACCACCCCAGGCAATAAAGGTAAGATGATGGATTCCTCTTCCAGTGGACTCCTGGCCAGCCTCGCTGCCCTCCCGGGGGTTGAGGGTGGCCAATGTTGGCCACAGTCACCTTTCAACTTGAGTAACTTGGCAGGCAAGCTGGCCATGAAGCAAGCCAGGCAGCGGTGAGGGTGGTAGGAGAGCTTACCAAGAATCCCCCGAGGTACTGTTGAGTGAGACAGCCACGTTTGGCTGTGCGGGGGGGTGTGGGGTGGGGACTAAAGAATGCTGACTTTCCTCTCTCTTTCAGGGGAGCAGTCCCTGCTGGACTGCAGTGGTTCTGTCCTCTGACATTCCTGTTGGTGAAGATGGAAAACTTAGTATCTCTGGAGTCAAGCTTAGTTTACTTCAGTTAACTGAACCCTTGTCTCCTAAGGTACACCCATAGCTTTCGAGTACATATATGCTCAATAAGGAGTTTTGAGAAAGAATTTGGTCTATTGTTTATAGTTATTCAGGTAACTTTGGGGAAGGAGGATTATCCTTTATCATCAAAGAAAAAAAATAAGACCTTTGCCAGGAGGCCTCCACATTTTTACCAAAACCAAGGTCCCTGATTCCCAAAGGAACTTGGTATGTATACATGGAACTCACAGCCAAAGTCCATGCTGAGTTCTTTCCACAATACCTACTTTGTATGCAGAGATTAAATTCGTGTTAACTGAAGGAAAAGGACGTGGCCCTTGGCTTGTTTGTCAGAATGAGCGTGACTTCTAGAGCACATTTCTACAGAGTTTCTGCAGCCCTGCTCATCCTTAATTCCAGGACCCTCCTCCCCACTCCTATCTCCCAGGAGTGCACACACTCAGCCTGCACCCCTCCAGTGTTCAAGGCCAGGGCAGTTTATACACATTTTGCACTGCCCGGCAGAACAGAGAATTCCTCACACTTCCGAGAGCCCAAGGCCCAGCCAGGCAGTACCGATAACTCCAAGTGGACTGAGGTGCCCTTGTTCTCACACTGCTATTAACTGGACACATTTGCTACAAAATTTAAAAACTGCAATTATAAAAAAGGTTTTTTTGTTTGTTTGTTTTCACTACTCATGTAAATAGTACCTTCAACTTTCATCTTTGGTGTACAGTGTTTGTGGAGTCCGCCCCCGAAAACTAACTCTGAATGGATGTGTTAAACCTTTGCTTTACTGAGGCCAAGACTAGTTTTATCAGCTAGGTTAAACTCGTGTTTGGGTTTGTGGGTCTCCCACCTGACTCAGGGCCATATCTGCTATTTTGTGTGCGTGTGTGTGTATTTAGGGGCTAACGGGGTAGTGCAGAGTCTGATGTGTTACTTGTGATAAAACATTAGTCTGGTTCGATAAGGTCCGCTGCTTTTTTTTTGTATGTTGTCACTGAGGTAAATAAGGCGATATAGAAAAATATGTTTTCTGCCATCTTGGCGTTTCAACAGGAGAACATTAAACTGACATCAGTGATGATATATGACGACGATGATGCACAGGCACCTCTATCTTGAAAGAAACGTTTCTCTGTTCAAAGCTGCTGGGCACATCAGTCGTGCTGATCGCTGTGAGGTTTCCAGGTTGTAAATGCAAATGTTTAGACCCTTTCACTACATTCATGATAAGGAAGCTTATATTTGGGATTTATAGATGGCTCAGAGGAAGTACCTTTATATAACCTAGCTTTGTAAAGAAGCCTTATGAAGGGTTTAGAATGAATTGATTTTGTACAGCTGGCCCCTGTGACCCGTTCTAGAACTGTTTGCAGAATTTCTTGGAACAACAGGAAGCAACCAGTATGAAGGAAATAATTGCTGTGAAGCAACTCTGTAGAATGTTTTGTAGTCTCAGAGCCTTTCGGAGTCTTGTTCAGTAAGCTGCGTAGCGTGTTTATTTCGTGGATAACAGCGATTGGGTCAATAAGTAGTAGAATTTCTCAGGCAGGCCTTTGTGCCAGGTGCTGTGGAGGCCAAGGGAATGGTATGCTAAAGGCCCCTGGAGGTGCTCTGGATGCAGAGGAGCCCGCAGGCTTCATTTGCACTCGAGGTATTTCGTTTTCTCTCACTGTGGCACGTGAGCCCCAAGAAAGTGGAAACTGCTCCCTGCTGAATTCCCCAGGGCCTGCCTGGAGCAGCCTGCTGCACAGAAGGTGCTCCTGTTATTGGGATGCCTGTCCCGCCGGCACTGGACTGCCGACTCCTGCAGAGAGGGAGGCATACCTTAATCCACTCTTCGCTTTTGGTCAACCAGGCACTGAAGCTTTTTAGATCAGAAGCTACTAACCTAACACGTAGGGTAGTTTCTGTGTCTTCTTTGAAATGGAGGCCTGGGGGTGGGTGGGGGTGGGTGTAGGTTTGGCACGGAGAGGTAGTGACTGCTAATTGACTGACAGCTGAAACTCCTCCAGCTGAGCTCCATTCCGGCTCCCTAAAGCACACTCCCTCCCCGACAGCAGCCTCACATGGCTCGCTCAGCCTTTCTCTCTCTGTGTTCACTCAGTTGCTAGTTCTGCTGATTCTTTCTCTTTTTAATTTTTTGTTTCCCACTGTCATCACTGACCCGGTTTAGGGGCCTGTGGACAGCAACTCACTGAGAGCTGTAGCCGAACCGCCTCCCTGCCTCTGGCCAGTTCTACGGTCCCATGCACCCTAAGCACCATCAAAAGAGCATTCCTTTTTTAAGACCTGTGCCGTTCTAACTCTTCATTCTTGACCTTCCCTTGCATGGGTCTGCCTGACTGCCTTGCCTTACCTTATAAAATGTACTAGAATATTCGAACACGTGTAGGCTACTCCTTCCTCATCAAACTTTGTTCTTAGGTTTATTTATTTCTTCCATTAGAGAGTGGGACAGTCACGTGCGTACGCTCACACACACACACACACACACACAGGCGCCCCAGTGGGGTCCTCATGCCAAGATCTACCCCCAGTCTCAACCTGCCTGGATCGCAGGTGTCCCGCTCAGGGAGGTCCTGCAGTGTAAACCCAGGACCTTTCCCGTGTGGGTCAGGTTGCTGCCTGCCCCCACCCCATTGTGTTTTATCCCAGCTCTGGGCCCTTCCCACAGGCTTCTGATGGAGTGTATCCCACGCTCTCCTTCAGTGCTTCTTTACAGCTCTGCCTTTTACCTTATTTTCTAGATCTAAAAATTCCACCTTCGATTGGATGAGCCCAAAAAGTCCGACATCCGTCTCCATGTTTTGCCCCCTGTGAGAACATTTTGAGAAGAAAATTATCCATGAATTTTGAACCATCCCCACCACCTTGTGTTGTCAGAAGCTTCCCTCAGTTTGCTGGGGCCCAAGCACGGTGCCTGGTGCCTGCCTGTCTGCCCTTTGCCTCCAGACACATGTGCCCTCTGCTTGCTGTGGTTAAGAGGGGGGCACTAGGACCTCTGCAGCTGGCCCAGGCTGCGTGGCCTTGGGCAGTCCTGCCATTCATGTGGAATAACTGGCAGCTTCAGTAGGAAGACTGCTGATCAGAGTAGGGGGAAGCAGACGCTGAGTGAGCACCTGCTGTGGGTCCAGGTCCTTGCCCAGGGTGGCTCACTTAGAGGTTAGCACTGCTGCTGTCTCCCGTGCCCAGGCCCTTTGCGGTCTTTGTGCTTGCCTCCTCCTCCTCACAGGCTGCCTTTCATTGTAGGGAGACCTGAGTTCTGGTCTTGGTAGAAACAGAGCCTGGTAGTGTCCTTTATTGTAATCAGGACAATAGATAGACCAGTGGTGTCCAGTCGAAATCGGAGGGCACAATTAATTTTAGAGTAGTCACATTAGAGAGTAAAAACAAACAGGTGGAGTTATTGATAATTTTAGTAGTAAGTCTATTTAGCCCACCCTGTCAAATATTATCATTTTGACTTGTAATTAATTTATAAAGAGATCTTTTGCATATCTTCTGTCACACTGAGTTCTGAGAATCCAGTGTGTATTTTGCACTTAAGGCATTCAATTCAGACTTGCCCCATGCCTCTGGTGGCTATTCTGCTGGGCAGTGAAGGTCTAGACCTTCTGAGAAAGGGTTTCACTCTTGAGCCAGACAGGTGGTGTGGTGGTTAAAGTGGCAGGATCCTACATAGCTGATTGTATGGTTAGAGTCCCAGATCTGGCAGCTTAAAAATTACACTGGGTAGGGGCCTGCAGTTGGCATAATGGCCACGTTTCTGGACTCCGATGTAGCCGACTGTGGTTTGAGTCCCAGACCCGGTGGCTTAAACTCACGCTAGG